CCTGATTCTTGAATTCACACCTGGCACAAGACAGGAGCTGTATGAGGTTTGTACCATTCTGTAACAAGCCAGCACAACTCCAGCAGTTTGCAAACCGGGTGTGGGTATTAACCTTCTAGCTCAGAAAGTCAGAAGTCTGAAATGGGTCTCACGGGGTCAAAACCAAGGTTCGGGATCTAACCTGGAGGGAAGGGTTCATGGGAAGGATTTGTTCTTTCCCTTCCAGCTTCTGAACATTGATCTGAAAAGGGGTTGGCATTCATCCTGTCTTCTGTTCCTCCCAGACAGAGGTCGGAGGCATTGACAGGTGAAGCCTCAATCTTCCCACCGGTAAAACGGGCTATTGTTTGTTGAGCCCTGACTGTGTGACTTGGTTTGATCTTTATTTGCCCTTGGACAAATGGGATGACTTCTTGGTGTCTTGCTGATGAAACTGGGGGAACGAATGATAGATTGCCAACGTCTGTACTCATGTGGCACCAGTGAGGTAGTGCATGGGGCGTGTAGACCCGATGAGGATGCATGAGGACTTTGGATTATGATGGTGTTGGGCATTCAGGGACCTTCACCAAAAAGATCTGATTATTTCCTCCCCTTGACCCTCCTCTCCCCTCCCCTCCCCTTATTTTCTTGCTCCTTAGTTACCAGTGAAGCACCCAGGACCTCACACTCACCAAGCAAGGCCCCACGACAGAGTCTCATGCCCGCTCCTTCCTTTTATTTTCATTTATTGAGACAGGGTTTGCCTAAGTCACCAAGGCTGGCCTTGAGCTCACTCCTTAGCCCAGGCTGGCCTTGAGCTCACTTCTTAACCCAGGCTGGCCCTGAGCTCACTCCATAGCTCAGGCTAGCCTTGAACTCATTCTATAGCCCAGGTTGGTCTTAAACTCACTCCTTAGCCCAGCCTGGCCCTGAGCTCACTCCTTAGCTCAGGCTGGCCTTAAACTCACTCCTTAGCCCAGACTGGCCTTGAGCTCACTCCATAGCTCAGGCTGGCCCTAAGTTCACTCTTTAGCCCAGGCTGGCCTTATGCTCACTCCTGAGCTCAGGCTGGCCTTGAGTTCATTCTAAACCCACTCCTTAGCCCAGGTTGGCTGTGACCTCACCTTCCCTAGTAGCTAGTGGGTACCACCACACCCAGCTCATTATTTTTATCATTTCTAATTTTCTTCTTCTTTCTCTCTTTATTCCCCTCTCCCTCAGCTTCCTCACCTTCCAACTTTGTCCGATATCTTCACGTACCTCTCATGTCTCCCCCTACACACCAGCTCAGAGCCTGAGGTTTTATAACAAACTTATCAATCATGCAGGCCAGACATGGCAGTACCTGCCTGTAATCCCAGCACTGGGGAGGTGGAAGTAGGTGGATTATGCATTCAAGGTCAGCAAGTTTGAAGCCAGCCTGGGCTACCTGAGACCATCTCAAAAACCTGACCAAGTCAAGCCAAACCAAACATTTATAAAAATCAGGCACTTTATTAACATCGGCCCCCATGAGACCCTTCTGTTTGACTCTTAGACTTCCAAGGTGGCCTCAAAGGCTGTGGCTCCTGGTGGTACCCCTCATTTCATTTGGGGGGGTGTTTCTGAAAGAGTTTCTACACCCTAACCTAGGAACAAGGGCAGTCTTCCTCACAGCTCTGTCTCTTTCCAAGTGGGAAGATATTTCCAATGGAAATATCTCGAAAGAGGCAGCGATTTTTCTTCCCCTGAGATGAAGGCAGCGTGCTGTGCAAGACTCTGCCTTGTTATCAGAAAATTAGAGTGGGAAAGAGCCTTCCGTGCAGCTACGGAGACATCTTAATAGACACTTTGGTTGTTACGCAGAAGTTTCTAGATCTGTTTAATTGCCGTAAATGTTATTTGCTTTCCCTGTTATGATAAGGCCTGGAGTCTCTGGTATCTTCCCCCCTCTTCCCTTTCAACAGTTTCCTTTTGCTCTGAGGCCGAGGCTCACATTGGTAAGTTTAATGAAACCCAAACAAAGGAAGCAGAGAGACTCTTGGAGTTTGTGTCTCACGCCCACAGCAGAAGCCAAGCCTGGGGAGCAATGGCTCCAGACTAATGAGGCTTTGCAGCTTAATGCAGCTGACAGGACGTACCCCTCGAGCTGCGCCTGGAACGTGAAAGCCAGCCCCGGAGCATAATTGCCTCTGCCCTGAGCAAAGGGGCCGGATAGGGACTAAGTATGACACAGAACTAATGGGAGATGCTCATAGCTTGAGATGACGCAGCCTGGGGCCATCATCTGAGATACTTTATTTTTAGGGGACGGGCATTTATAGAAACTTCCAGATCAGGAGCCTCAACCTTGATGCAACTGATTCTTAGGATGCTTTAACTTGTTGAGGGTGTGGGGAGAACTCTCACCTATGTATAAAAGGATGCTCTAGCTGCCAGTAGCAAACTCCCAAACACAGTATGACACCCCAGAATGTCTTCAGAAATCTCCAAATGCCCCCAAAGGTTTGCCTGGGAGCTGAGGATGTGAACGCAAGGCCTCAGGCTTGCGCAGCTAGCACCCACAGAGCAGCTCCCAGTCCCTTTAGGGAGTCACATTCACATTTGCTCCTGCAGGTTCCTGACTGTGTGACCTTGACTGGGTCAGTGCGCCTGTCCTGAGCTCCCTTGCCCTCCTTTGTACAAAGGGCATAGCTACGGCACTGGATGCAAGGAGGCAGAGGTTCTGGTTATTAAGTATACAGCACATACTAACTGCCCAGTAAACTGTTTCTGTTGTAAGAATCTTGGCTTCACCAAACATGTGTTAAGAGCATACTCAGCCTCAGGCACTATGCTCTGAGGTGAGTGCAAAGGTGAAGATTTGACTATTGCTTCTGTGGAGGAGGTAAATCCACACAAGACGTATAAGGGCTGCATCCTTCCTTGCTCATGGCAGACATTACTAATCAATCTCAAGACTTGTTAGCAGTACCTCCTTCCTCAGGTATGGCAGACGTTAGCAATCAATCTTGCTACTCTTGCTCTCAGTCCTCAACTCAGCTCTATTCAGACATTATTAATGGCCCGTGAGTGGACTCTCCTTCAGTACGTCCTGTTTTGTAGATCGCTCATAGGAGGTTGACCTTCCTTTCCTGTCCAGCCTTTCAGAGTTAATGGGTAATGTCTTTTCTCCCATGTCAGTCTGAAAGAGGGGTTGACATAGAGAATATTTTTAAAGAGCACTATCTTCCTTTTTTATCTTCCTCAGAAACTGGACGAAGTAGTAAAACGGGCTTTGTTAAACATTCTGCAGACTGTGGGGCTTATGGCTCTATCAGGCCACCTCCTCGGTTTTCTTCAGCATTTGGGGCTTGGAAAATCATCAGCTCTTGAAAAAAAAAAGAAAGGAAGGAAGAAAGAAAGGAAGGAAGGAAGGAAGAAAGAAAGAAAGAAAGAAAGAAAAAAGAAAGAGGTTCCAGCTTTGCAAGGGTTGCACAGAGGTTTCTGGAAACAGCTTTTAGATCACCGTGACCATCACCAGAGAGAAGAGAGAGCCCACTAGGGTTAAATGCTCCCATGTGTTCCGACATGCCCAGCTCTCCCAATGAGAGTGACACTCCATGATAATGCCTGTGAAAAATGAGGCACACGTCTGCAACCCTGCAGCCCCCGGCAGGCTCCATCCATCTGGCTGAGAAGTGGGCGCTGGCGTGGGCTTGGCCGATTGCCTTTCTCCCGGACTGTCCAAGGCAGCACTAGCTCACGCCGCAGCTGTTGGTTTATGTCTGCTGCCTGCAAGGTCTCCCAGGAGGCTGCTGGGATGGGGGGCAGGCAATGGGGGTGGCATAGGGCTTATGCGCAAGGTCTCGGAGGACCTAGAACTTGGTCATTTGTGACTATATGGTTTGCTCATATTTGATCTAAAGTGTTAAAAGAAAATAAAGAAAGGGAAGAAAGGACAGGAACAGGCACTCAGTCTGAAGTACATGCCTTATTATTTCTTTCTCATTCTTATTTGTCCACCATCTGTCCATCCGTCCATCCATTCATCCATCCATTCACCCACCCACCAAGCATTTCCCATGCATACATGTAGCCACCCACCTCTCCTCCGTCACACGCTCTCCTTCGTCCATCTACCTACTTACCTGCCCATCCATCATCCCATTCACCTTACGTCATCCCATTCACCATCCATCCATCCACCATCCATCCAGATAGCCTTACGTCATCCTTGCACTCACGTGCTCACTCACTCACCCACTTGTTCTAGTATGAGTTGGGATGGCACACTGCAGGACGGGCTGAAAGTTGTCTGCATAGAGTCTGCTCGGCTTTGCTTTTTTTCATGTGTTTGTTATATGCAGCTCAGACCGGCCTCATGCACGGGAGGCACTCAGCCTACACCAGGCATATGCTAAGAACCATTAAGCAGAGGTCATGCTTGGCTGTATTCTTTCCACAGTGCCCACCCCACATTCTCTCTCTCTCCCTCTCTCAATTCTATTTTTAGATTACAAAACGTAACTTTTAATTACTCCATGGTGTATGCATGTGGGCACATGTGTGGTCAGAGGCCAACTGGTAGGAGTCAGTTCTCTTCCTCCACCCTGTGGGAGGGACCCAGGCACCGAACTCAGGGCTTCCGCTTGGCAGCGAGACCTTTGTCCATCCACCTCACCAAATCACACATGCAGTTTCTTTCTTCCTTTATTCTTTCCTTTTGTTCTTTTTTTATTTTTTTGAGACAGACTATTACTATGCAGCTCAGGATGACCTTGAACTCATAACCCTCCTGCCTCAGCCTGAATGACTGGTGTGCTTCCCCATACCTGACCTCAGCTGACATATTTGAAGGCATCTGCTGCCTGCCCTACCTGGGAAGCCTCCTTTTAGTCAGCCCAGGACTTAAACTGGGGCTCCACCTGGCATAGCTCTGTAGGCCAAAGCAACCAACACCCTGCCTGAGGCCAGTTGGTGGGGTTCCTTTTAGTTTCCAGGGACCAGGCAGAGGTGGCTCAGCTCTTGACCCTTCCTGTCTGTTCTTCTCTCCACAGACACACTGTCTGTACCACGGTGGTCACCGCAGATCCCACGCAGAGACCTTGGCAACTCCATTAAGCACAGGTAGGTAGGAGACTGTGCCTGTGTGTGTTGGGGGTGGTGGTGCTGGAGCCGGTGGGCACCGGTAATGTGTCAATCCTCAGCTTCCACACCACCACACCCTTCTGTCTTTTGTTGGACCGAGGTGTCCGCACCATAGCCTTGCCCTTAGCAAATCTACACAGGACGGTAGAAACAGAGACCTTATGCTCACTCTGACCTGGGTTCCAGTCCCTCCTGATAAAGCTTTGTAGCCATGAGAAATTGCGTACCCCCTTTGGACTCCATTTTTTAAAATGTTTTTATTATCAAAAATTACCCAATATATAATGAGAGAAATAAGGGAAGACTCTGGGATAGTATAATCAAGACCTTTAAAGAAATTACATTAAACTGTCATTTATGAAACAAGCCCAGCAGGCTAGAGAGTGTGACATCAAACCATAGTTAGAGAAGAAACTTTGATTTTTGTAGGAATAAGTTCATACATTCTGCCTATCAATGGGATGATGTATTAAGTGCTGTGCACGTACCTTACTGGTATCGTAAAGTACTTCAGGCTCCAAATGGAGGCTCTTTACCCAGGAAACTCAAGATGGCTAGCTAAACTCATTGCTAGAGGTTACTGGAGAGGAGCAGACCAGCAGGAGGCCTTCCCCAGGATCCTCCATGGCCTGGAATCGTTTCCAACAATTTCTTGACTATCCCAAGTTCAGCTTTCTAAAGGTTACCCCAGTCTCCTTACAGAGCCATGGAGAAAGGGGGAGCTGAGTCAGGCCAGGGTGGTGAAACTCTCTGAGAGAGGAGGGGGACGGAGGCCCTGGCAGATGAGGCAGGGGACTGGATGCTAATCATGCTCAATCCCTGTGATCTGAGAACCCCTGGTGAGTGTCTGTGCCTGGGGGAGAGTAGGCTGCCTCATTGCTCCTTCATGGAGCCTTCCCTCCAACCTGTAGGATTCTAACATCTGTGTCCCTGGGGAGCTGGCCAGTTATCCGAGGGTCTGTGGACACAAATTGACAGTCCCCAGTGGTCTGTCAGCCAGGCTGAAGGGAGAAACCCTGGACACAGACACAGCCTCAGCCTGGGGCAGGGCTGCTCTCTCTCCTCCTGACAACTCAGCCCCAGTTCTTAAAGAAAAATGTCACAGCTGGAACCCTTGGTGGAAGCTGTGAGGAGCAGTGCTGGACAGGTCAGTCAGACAGGTCAGTCAGAGACCAGAGGCTGAGCTGTGGCACCAAGGGGACTCTGGATGAGGGCCTTTTCAAATGTTTCTGGTTTAGTTCCACCCCTGGGGTGGCCACAGTCCCTCGTTCAGTCCGCCTCTGTGCCACACACATTTTTGGCCCGGTCACCCTTCCAGTTTGGTCACACTTGTGGCTCAGCCACACCCCTGGGTTCTGCCTCAGCCTCACCGGGCTGGCTCCACCCCTGGGCTTTCACTAGAAACTGGTGGTGCCCCAGCTTCTGATGTCAAGGGAAATGAAGCAGGCTGACCAGCTTGGACCCCAGACCTGACTTCCTAGTGAGGCGAGAGCCCCCTGATGGGTGTTGTTCTTCAGCCTGGCCTGCCCTGCATTTCCCCTCCTGGCTAGGTGTCAGGTGGGAGAAACTCCCAGCCTGGTTAAGAGATTACATTAACATCTCATTCCCTGTGTTGTCTGGTGTAGTGGTATATGCTCCCAGCACACAGCGAGGCGAGATGGTGAGTTAAGAGTTCAAGGATAGCCTGGCCATTGTAATAAAATCCTGTCTCAGAAAAAGCACCACCAGGAGCAGCAGATCTCACTCTTTGTCATTGGAATTATCACAGCAAGAGCCGGGCAATGGAGAACATCCACCCAGGGGACAGGACAAAGCTGAAGAGGAGAGAAACCTGCCAGCAGACCCTGTTACCTGCCTCCCAGTCCTATGTTGCTGCTCAATGGGTCTTTTGCTATCCCCTCCCCTGAGCTGCCCCAGCTTGCAGAATAGACCCGCTAAGCGCTGCTAAGACCCAAAGGGGCTTAACCAAGCCCAAGTGCAAAGCTGGGGAGGAAGCATGGCAAGCCAGCATCTCTGTTGTGAATATTGCTGTTTGCTTAGCTCTGGCAGCTCCAGGCTGCCGCTCGCTGTGCTTGAAGGGTTGACCCAGATCCCGCAAGAGGGTAGGCTGAAGGAAGCAGCCCTCCCGCCTCACAGTTCTCCATCTCTGAGTTATGTAACCACGTCCAAGTTTCCCCTTTGACACTCGGAGGAGGCAGTGCAGATTGCATACAACTACTGCCGACGGTGGCACAAATTGAAAATTAAAATTAACTGTGACCTGGGAACCTTCAATAGCTTTACTGGATCCAGCCCCACCTCTGTGTCTTATCTCAAGGCAGAAAGCACGCCATGGCTCAGGAGGGGTGATCTGCAAGTTAATCTAATAACCTCCAGGTGGCCTTGGTGACCATGATGTGTGGGGGCTTCCACACAGTATTTGCCGCAGGTGGCAGTGGCTGGGGGAGGGTGAAGCGATGTTGTCGGAAAAGGTTTTCGTTTGACGGTGGGCGGGACTCTACAACTGGATTTGGAGGTCCATTGCTGTCTTGAGAAATTGAATTTGCCATTTGTAGGCTACCTCCAGGATGTGAATAGGTGACCATAATGAACACTCCAGCTAATAACTGAGACAGCCCAATTCATTGAGCATTACCTATGCACCAGGTGCTATGACACCTTCGATATGCCTGACCCAGTAACCCCTAAGATTCCTGTCAAGTGTCTCACTTTATAAGCAAGGAAACTGAGGCTTCAAGGTTTAGGCAATTTGATTGAACTTAATTATCACCTGTTCTGGAACAAACAGGGCTGGAATCCAGGGCTTATAGGTTTCCCATTCTAGGGGTTCATCCTGCTGGAGAGGGGCCTATCGCCACTGCCCCACCTCGGACATTTCCTGTTTCTTTCTCACAGGTTTTCCACCAAGTATTGGATGTCTCAGACCTGCACCGTCTGCGGGAAAGGGATGCTTTTTGGCCTCAAGTGTAAAAACTGCAAGTGAGTGATTTCCCTTTAAGGAACTTTTTACAATGCCAGATATCAATTAGCACTGAGATGGGCTTTGGCTCACTCCAGGGAGGTGAGGAGAAGCTGGTGAGAACGGTTCTGATAAAGCCTGAGCTGTGCGGAGACCGGAGACCGTAGGAAGGCTAACGCGACATGTGCTGGGGCCGGTGGGGCCTCCCATGCTCAGGGCCTCTATTGTGGTTGTGAATGTGAAGAGTGTCCCACAGCCTCATGTGATCAGATGCTCAGATGCCAGCTGATGTTTCGGATCCTTTTGGACACGGGGTGGGAGTCTGACAGCAGGCATTGGGTTATAGGAATAGAGGTTAACTGTTCTAGACCAGTTCCCCTTCTGCCCCAACTTTTCCTCATGCTCCTACCACTAGGCTCTCCCACCATGACGGACTGTGTCCCCTGATTTATAGTTGCCCCACATATTCTGTCATAGAAAAAGTACCTAATACACCGTTGAAGGTCAGTCACCGGCTGATTTCTCTTCTAGCTGCCCTGTAGTAAACCTTTTAAACTCCATGATCCTTGGAGGCCTCAGTGTTTCCCTCAGAGCTTCGCAAAATGGACTCGTATATTTTGAAAGTAACCACAAACAATTCAGAAATAGATATGGCCATGGATTTGGACCAATAAAACTTTATCCATAAAGACAGTTGACAGCATGGGTCCAGCCTGTGGTTTGCTGATAGCTTTGATAATTTGCAAAGTTCTTTCCCTTCTGCTCTTTCTCATCCTGCGCTGTCTCTGAGAGTGTCTTATGATTGCCCCATTTTATATCTGTAAAAACTGTGTCTCAACTTGGAAACGTCACAGCTAAGAAGTAGGAGTGAGGACTTGAACTCATGCCCCTTAATTCCTGCTCCATTTCTTTCTTTGGCTTCCTGTTGGATGCTTATTCTGGCCAAGAGGTGGGAATACCTCGACCCCTACTCCTTCCCCCTTCCTTATACACATTCTTTGTTATGTCTGACAGAAGATTAGAAAGAAGGCAAAAGAAAAATTGACACCAGCCATGGGCTCTGGGCACAGGTTAAACCAGGTTCAAATCCTGCCCCTGCCATTTAGTAGCTGTGTGACCACGGGCACACCCCCTCACATTTCTGTCCTCATATGCCCCTCTGTGTGTATCTGCACATATGTACTAACTACCTACTCAGGTCCAGCGGCTACAAAACTGACACATTTGACCGTATGGAAAAGATAGGGGTGGGTATGTGTCTGCTAGAAACACATGGTAACAGTCTCCCCACCCCTCGCCTGTCTGGTGGCCTCACCTGAGCAAGTTAGCCATACTGAGCTCCCTGATAGCCTGGGCTGTGGGGAGGAGTAATTATTTCCAGCCCCTGGGAATCCTTTAGCTCACAACCTAAGGGTGATTAGGAGAGTAATTGCTGTATATTAGCATTCTGAGCTGCTGCCCTCCATGGTTCCGGGCTCTCCGATGTCTCCTCAGCTTTCTGACTCTGAGCTGCACAGAGGCAGGTGCTTAGGTCTGGCTCAGAGGCTGCCTGATCTCCCCAGTACACCTGCTGCCTTGGAGACATCTCGACTGTATCAGGTCGTGCTGTGTTCTGTGGGGGAAATGCATTTCACATCCTCACACCTGCTGCGTGGAGGCTTTGAAGTCAAGTAATTAGGTGACAGGGACTGGGCAGGAGTCAGCGAGGCTGAACACTCCGCAAGCCTTTTCAATTTTCAGCACTGGAGGTGGGACCCAGAGGTGGCTTTCCTCCCTGCCTTCTGTTTTAGAAGTAATGAGCAAAGCCTGAGACCCTGCCAGGGATTGGGAGAGGGGGCTAGGGACAGGGGAGAGGGGCAGTTCACACAGAGCTGAGGCTTTGGAAGTCAACAGCGCTAAGTTTGGGTCCCATTTCTGCTTGAAGTCTTAAGAGGCATGCCATCTTGACCTTCTTCTCTGAAGAGCAGACGTGATATTGGCTCCCATCACTGGACTTCTGGGGCGGGGGGGAGTCATTGAAATGCCCTCACCTCACACTGCTATCCAGGAACATTTCCTCCACTGCCTCTTACTCTACCTTATGCGGCGTAGCTCCTGGCACATGGAAGGGTGAGGTCAGAGTTCAGACCAACTGGGCTTGGATGGCATCCATGACTTCACCAGTGTGCTCAGCCCTTCAACCATAACAGTTGCTGCTGCACTGGTATGGAGCCCAGCTGTGAGTCTGTTGTAGCCACACACCTCTGTCAGCTACAACAGGAACAGGGCCAGCTCCATGAGATTGAGGTACAGGCGTACTGAGGCTCACGGTTGAGACCCGCACTTATCTTATGGATAAAGTCCCTGGAGCTTTGGTTAAAGTGAGAGGGTCAACATTTATTTGCGTGTGTTTGCAAGGACCGACAAAAAGGTGGAGGAATGAGTCTGAGTGGAACTGAAGGACAGCAGCGGCCCTGAGAATGAGGGGGCTGGAGGTGGGCAGGGCCATCTCACTCGTCATTCAACTAATATTTGCCAGCTGGAAAATCATCATTGCAGGTTAAGACGCCGGTCTCTGTAGTGCTTGGGACCAAAAGTGTTTTTACATATGAAGTGCATTCTGACTTTGGAATATCTGAATAATGCATACATTTGCATATGTGATGAGGTGTCTTGGAGATGAGATCCAAACTTCATTTGCACAGGGTTTTTGGTGAACGCATATTTAAACTCAGGTTAGGCATGGGGTTGCTCCACCTGTGGCCCGTCCTCAGAAAGTTTCAAACTGGAAGCCATTTTGGGTTTCAAATTTTTGAACTAAGGATGTTTAGCTTTAAAACATTAATACTATGTCCCAAAGGGTTTTCCAGGCACCAGAAGCAACAACAGGAGATAAAGTGGACAAAATCTCCGGACTGGTGGAATTGATCTGTGGGTGGAGTGGGAGACAGGTAGGTGGAGAAGGAAGTCAATCTGGCTAAAAAGATGGTGATGGAGAAGGAAGACAATCTGGCTAAAAAGATGGTGATGGAGAAGGAAGACAATCTGGCTAAAAGGATGGTGTGATATTGGATGATATTGGCTGCTGTGAAGAGCAGAGCAAACATGGTGCCATGTCTGGAGACTTGTCATCTCAGTAGTCGGGTCTGGAGCTGAGGCGCAGCCTGGGCTGTGTAGTGAGACCCTGTTCAAAGAAAGAGGGAGGGAGAGAAAGAAGGGAGGGCAGAGGAAAGGAGGCAGAGAGGGAAGAAGGAAGAGATAAGGAAGAAAGAGGGAAGAAGGAAGGGAAGTAGGGAAAGGGAGGGGAAGGAAATAGGAAGGGCCACAGTAAGAGGTTACAGTTTTAATTCAAGGGCTCTGGGAATTTTAAGCTCTTCCCTCACCTGGGTCTTGTGTATCGTCATCTGTTCAGAAATGCATGTGGTATATATGTATGTAAGACAGATGGCTTCCTGACTGTGGGTGCCACGCGGCCAGCAGCCACACACTGCTTCTGACCATGGGTGCCATGCGGACAGCAGCCACATGCTCCTGCCGCCACGTCTTCCCAAGCGCAATAGCCTGTACCCTCAAAATGTGAGCCATGGTAAACCCTTCTCCCCTTAAGTTGCTCCTGTCAGGCACTTTGTCCCAGCAGTGAGATTAGTCACCATTGCAACTGTTAAGAAGGAAAAGGTAAACAAGATAATTACCCTCTGGAGTTCTTGCCCCTCCCTCACCTGGCCCATTATGAGAACTGATTAATGGATACTAACACCATTACTGGCTTGACAAATAAGCCTTGGGATATCCCCCCACCCAGGAAGCCAGAAACTTCTCCCTCATGCCCAACTCCTCTCCCCCTCCGCAGTTCTCCTCTTAAGTGCCCACTTCCTCCGGAATTATCATCAGCTGTCTTGTTGGGAGTCTGAATAGATTAATGAGCTAATAGGAAATTAAGGCTCTGAAAGCAATTTCCAGTTATCTAAATCGAGGCGTTCTCATCTAATCGGTTCAGGAGTGTGGAAGGGAGCTGCGTGGAGAGTGGTCCAATGTCCACACTCTGCCTGCATTGTTTCACAAGTGTGGATGCAGCTGCCAGGGCTTGCTCTTCTGCGCACAGGGATGGATGCTGATGGGTTTCCCAGCTTTTGGCTTGGCATTGTCTGTGATCCACCCTTCTCACCTTCCATGGGGGTCTGAAGCCCTGATGTCTCATTTATAGGAATCCTCTCTAGCCTATCCTCCTGGTCCCCTTTTTAGAAGTCACTGTGTAGCTCAGACCAGCTAAGAACTCAGCTATGTAACACAAGCTGGCCTCAAACTTGTGATCATCCTCCTGACTCAGGCTCCCCGGTGCTAGGATTATATATATGCACCACCACAGCTGACTCTGTCCAGTTTCTTAGAGGCAGATAGTAATTTACACAAGAGTGTTTTGAGTGACTTTTGTGGTAGAAAAAGAGAATTGAAGCTGAGATGCATTTTTTTTCTTTCTGTCTGACCTCCTGCAGTGTGATAAAGATAGGAGCATCTGGGGCTGGAGAAATGGCTTGGTAGTCTTTACTGCTCTGAGTTCAGGTCTCAGTATCCGCATCAGGCTGCTCACAACTGCCTATAACTTTAGCTCCAGTCGGGTCTGATGCTCTCTTGTAGCCTCTGAGGGACCTGAAGTCATGCACACACGTGCATGCACACACACACACACACACACACACACACACATGCACATACAGACACTCAAGTAATTTTTATAAAGAATGAGACGTTATCCCAAGCCATCAGTAGAGACATCGCATTTAAACAAAGCCCCTGCTCATTTTAACTGCCTCATCCTCTCTTCCACACCATGTTTTAACTCTAGGTAGGTCAACAGGAAAGGTTCGCACAAGGTGCCAGATAGAGGAGTCATCACTGCCACTGGTTTAGAGAAACAGGTTTGCATAATGGATCGCCCACTTGCAACAAAGGGATTGCAGCCTGCGCGATCCGGTTTCAGCATGCCAGCTGCCAGACATTTGCCTGGCACAACCGTGAACCCATTATTATACCTTCACCCCGT